AAAAAAATACACCCCAAAAAAAAAAAAAAAAAACAAAAAAAACCTTCAGTGGATCTGGACCCCTGGCCTAGTGGTTGAGGAAGGCAGATCCCACATGGCTGACTGCACGATTTGAGTCCCAGACCCAGCGGCTTTAGAAATACTCCAGGTGCATGTGTGTGTATGTCCAAAATCCTAAAAAGAGGGAAAAATGGAGGAGAGGGCGTTGTGGTATGACTGCTCCATTGTGGGGTGCTATCTCCTTTTCTGTCTCTGGCCAGCACACATACCCTCTGGCAAATAAAAACTGTCAACAATTTCCCACTGTAGATTAAAATCTAACTCCTTTCTTTTGCCCATGTGACCACAAAGATCTGGTTCTCTTGGGCCCAGCCACAGTGGTGTAAATGGAGGGCACTGCTCTGTGACGGCCAAGGCCACATGTGAAGTCCAATTTCAGTTTCCAGTTGTACCTTTTTTGTTTCTTTAAAGAATTATTCTACTTTTTATTTTATTTATTCATTTATTTTAATTTGACCAGACACACACACACACACACACACACACACACACAGAAAGAGAGAGAGAGAGAGAGAGAGAGAGAGAGAGAGAGAGGAAAAGCGAGAAAGCAAGCCCCTAAGGTCCAAGGACTCGACCCGTGGTCAGCCATGTGGGAGTGGTCAGCCATGTGAGAGTGTCCAGCGCCTTAACCACCACACCACCTGCTGGTCCCTCTGGTTGTATCTTATAACAAGACAGGCAGACAGGATGGAGGAGGGGAGGAGAAAGGATTGCAGCATGACCACCCCCTACTAGGAATGCTTTCTCCCTCTCCTCTCTGTCTTTCTGTTTCTCTCTGGCAAGTGCATGTACCCTCTGGCAACTGAAATGAAAAAAGATGTCTGTCAAAAAAATACCTTTCTTGTTCTCCCTCCCTGAATGCTCATAATCACGTACTCTCTCTCTCTCAAAAAAAAAAAAAAAAAAAAAAGAAAGAAAAAAAAAGAAAAGAAAAAAAGAAAAGACCTTGCTCTCTATCCAACCCTCATGTCACTCTCTTGCTCATCACGCCCTGGCTACACCCTCCTCTTTCTGTCCACTACGTCTGTCCCTACTACCCGCGCAAAGTCCTTCCCTTGCCCAGGAGCTCTCTTCTCAGTTCTTAGCATGGTTGGCTCATTGTCATCTTTTAGGTCTTTTCTCAAATGTGACCTCTCATAGTGGCCTTCCCTGGCTCCTTGCTTTAACATATTTCCCTCTCCCTCACCTAATTTCCTAATGAAACACTATGTGGTTTTTAAAAGTTTATTACTTTATTTCTTCCATGAGAGAAAGAGAGACCAAGAGACAGAGACATAGCACCTGCAACCGGGCCTCGATGCTGTGATCCACCCTCAGCCTCAGCCAGCCCTGGATCATGGGCATGCTTGTTCCCAGCATACTCAGGGAGGTCTCTGGATGGGAACCTGGAACTCTCCCGTGTGAGTCAGCCTTGCAGAAAGCCATGTTTTACCACTGTGCCACGTCTGGCCCCTAAAGCACCCTGTTTATTTCCCTCATAATATTACAGCCTGTAATTACCTAACTTATGAACTTCTTGATTATTGGCTGCCATCTGCACTAGAATGTAAACTCCTCGAGGGCAAGAACCTTTCCTGCCTTTTGTACCACTATGTCCATGGTACCTAGCAACCATTCCCTGAATGTGTGAACCTTGTCTTTTACTGTCTCCAACACATTTCACTTGATTCCATCTCTGTGACACTGTGTATGTCCTACCTTCAGCCTGTAATGCTTTCCTATTTTTTTTTTTAGAGAGAGATTATTTTGCTATAGGGCATGTGGGCTCACCAGAGAGACAGAGAGAGATAGAGAGACAGAAAGCAAGAAATCACCCCTCAGGGGGATGGCCACTCCACAATCCCTTCTCCTTCCATTCTCTTCTCGGGATTTTGGGCACGCACACACACAAACAGCATGAGTTTTAAGCCACCAGGTCTGGGACTCGAACCACGGTTAGCCATGTGGGAGTCCAGTGACCTAACCATTATGCCATCTGCTGGTCCCCCTACTTATTCTTTTAAAAAAAATCATTTAATCAGTAACATGTGCTGAGCTCCTTGAAAGTCCTGTCAAATTGATAGGACATTGCCATGCTTTCGTATTATATTTGTTTTGTAATCACAGTCATTTCATGTATGTAGGTATGTTTTCTGCCTTAAGACCATACCTTACTTGGGGGAAGAGTCAATATTGCATCACATTTCTTTTATTTTTTTTTAAGAATTATTTATTTAATTTTATTTATTCATTCATTTATTTTATTTTATTTTATTTTGATGAGAGAGAGAGAGAGAGAGAGAGAGAGAGAGAGAGAGAGAGAGAGAGAGAGAGAGAGAGAAACTGAGAAAGCGAGGCACTCGGTCTGGGACTCAAACCATGGTTGGCCATGTGGGAGTGTCCAGTGCCTTAACCACCACGCCTCCTGCTGGTCCCACATCACATTTCTTTATAATCCTCCTCGAGGTTCTTAGTTCACTGTGGTGCAGCCTGCCAGCCATAAAGCAGAAATGCAGAATACTCCCTTCACAGCTCCAAGAAAGTGAAAATAGCTGTGAGTTCCTTTGGGGACCAGAACTAGAGTTGTTCTGAAGTTAGAAAAATGAGGCATATTCTTTTCCCACTGAAAACTGCATCTCAGAAAACATTGCTGTGTACAGTAGTAAGAGCTTAGTTCTCTATTTCATAACACTTGCAGAAGAATGCACTATGTATTGTATAATCACGCTGATGTAAATAATCCGAGGTTAGGATTTGGTTTTTTAAAATGTAAAACAATTTTTGTAGCTTTTAGAACTGTTTGAAAAGTTGTTTCTTTCAAGGAAAATAAAGAGTAAGTAACATGATCTGTTCACTCTGGGTAAAGAATTGGCCACCCTTCAAACTAACACATTGGGATACAGTTGAGAATTGTATGTGTGTATTAACTGCCACTCCCCATAGAACACAGTCTGCCACAGCAGTTGGGAAAATAAGGTATTTTGTTATATTTAAATAGGATAAGGTTCTGAGAGTTTAAAGATATCGGCCAATATGTATTTAACCTTAGTTTTATAACTCAGGTTAGTAATGAATAACCAACACATCATTTTTCTTTGGAAAATAAATTTAATAGGAAATTAAAAAGACTCTCAACATACTGAAGATATCTATGTGTGAATGTATATAGATGTGTATGAATTAACAACCTAATATTAGATATTAATACATTTTTTTTTTGGAGAGGTTTTTGCTATAGGGCGCGTGCGCTCGCCAGAAAGACAGAGAGAGAGAGAGACATAGAGACAAGCGAGAAATCACCCCCCAGGGGGGATGGTCACACCGCAGTCCCTTCTCCTCCATTCTCCTCTCGGGATCTTGGGCATGCACGCACACGCGCCCTGGCAGGCAAGCAGACGCGCCCGGCGTGAGTTTTAAGCCACCGGGTCCGGGACGCGAACTGCGGTCGACTACGTGGGAGTCCAGTGACATAGCCATTACGCTAACTGCTGGTTCCCGATATCAATACATTTAAAAAAGTTTTTAAAAAATTTCTTATGAGAAAGAAAGAGGTGCACCCAACCACCAGGGTCTTCGTGCTGTGATCCACCCCCTTGCGTCAGCTGGCCAGGATCATGGGCAGCTACACATGCCTGGTGTGTACAGGGAGATCTTGGGAAGCCAGCCTGGGACCTTCCCACGTGGCTTCAGCATTGCAGTGTCGTGTTACTGCTATGTCACTGTTTCCACCTAGTGCATTTTAAAATGCACGGATGGGCACCATTCAAAAGGTACAGTTACGTAAACTTTTTTTTTTTTTTTGAGAGGGATTTTTGCTAAGGCGCCCATGCACTCACTGGAGAGACAAAGAAAGTGAGAAATCACCTCCTGGGGGGATAGTCACACTACAATCCCTTCTCCTCCATTCTCCTCTTGGGATTTTGGGCATGTACACACACGCACCCGGTGTGAGTTTTAGCCCCCGGGTCTGGGACTTGAACAGCAATCGGCCATGTAGGGGTCCAGTGCCTTAACCACTGCGCCACCTGCTGGCCCCCAGTTAAGTAAACTTTATATAGAATACTCAAGGTGGGACAATTCTGAAAAAAATTTTTTTTCAAAAATCTCGTACAGATGATTAGCCAAATATGTTTTTGTTCAGTTACATTTCTTTTGTGTATCTCAAATGTTCCACTTGATCCTTTATAGGCAACTGGGACATCTTGTGAGAACAACTTAAGTTACTAAATAATTTATTTTCAGGGTAGGCTTGCAAAGCAAGTTAAAAAGGCAGAGAATTCAGGCCACTTGAACTGTACATGATTTCAACCACAAGGTTTTTGGGGGAATCATTAAGCAGCTATGGCAAAAACTTCCCTCTTGAAATATAAGCTTCTAAGCCTGGGATGCTTCAAATTTCAATAGAACGTTCCACTACGACAGTAATAGTTTCTAAATGTTATGTGTTTTCATTTAGTTTTGGACATGGCATAATTGAAAGTGTGTTGTGTACACTCAGAAGTTAGCAAAGGAGGCCAGGCGTGGTGCAGCAGTAACACAACTAGACCCACATTGGAAAGGTCTCGGGTTTGCATCCCAGGACCTCCCTGAGCACACACACCCGTGATCCAGGCTGGCTGAAGCTGGAGGTGTGTCGTGGCATAAGGACCCTGTTGGAGATCCTTGTCTCTCTGTCTCTGTCTCTCATGGAAGAAATAAACTTTAAACAAAACAAGTTAACAAAGGTTATGAATTCAAGAGCAATTGTACTGGGACACCTCAGGTCAAAGTGAGAAAAACTAGGCTGACATTGGTTCATGTAAGCTTTGGGTCAACTCTTAGTGATGGTGACCTTGTGTCTGAGCTCCAGTCATGGTATCTGCTTAGCCACTTAAACTACACGGTGCTTTAAGGTGTCATGGCAGTGCCCTTTTTCAGTGTCATGCTTCTGTCCAGAGTGTAAATTGCATGTGTTATTATTGCAGACTTTGGTTATAAAACCTGGTGGCACCACATCATGACACAGTAGTGCTGGGAAACCTTTTCACAGTGCAGGTGTTCACAGGGACATCAGTTTGGAGCTCTGAGGTGGTGTACAGACAAACGGCTTCATTTCTAAGAGCAGCAGACAGGAGTACTCTCCCATCATTCCTCATATGTGCCATTATGAGGCTACATTTGTTTGAGATGGCAGCCTGCTTCCAGTCGGTCCACTTCTCGCCCCATTCGGTTTTACAGAGTTGGTTTTTTAGACTTCAGTTTTCCAGTTTTGAAGAACTTCTTTAATTCTCGTAATTCCCCGGGCTGCAAACTCTGATCCACCCCGGGGGTCAATTTATAGCTCAGAGGAGACACAATGTAGCCATTTTGGTAAAGACAGATTCTCTTGCAGAACTCAAAGGTGCTAAACATAACTCCAAAATAAGGAACTATCTGTTAAAACAGAAAAGGAAAATCATATTAAACTCTGAGAAGAAAATGTCAATGCATCTGCAATCAACTTGGGTCAGGGTAAACTGAGAGAATGGCTGTGGACAATACAACATGGAATTTTTTTTGGAATCAGGGAAGATGGCAGGTGAGCTGGCATGGTATGGTTTGGGGAAAGGAGGGATGGTGATTGTAGGGCATGTCCTGGGGAAGCACCAGGTCTAGGTTAATATGCATGGACACGATCTGACACTGCCTGTCAATATATGTTGGCCTGGACTGGACCGTCTACATGTCCATTAGTACAAGGTTAGTCCAGATTCTTTTTTTTTCTTTCTTTTTTTGGAGAGGCTTTTGCTATAGGGTGCGTGCGCTCGCCAGACAGACAGAGAGAGACAGAGAGACAGAAAGCGAGAAATCACCCCCCAGGGGGGATGGCCACTCT